CATGATATTAGATATCGCGTATTAAAAATATAAATTCTGTTATTTCTACTCGCATACCGTTCTTATCCGCGCTGTATCAGTGTCACTAGAAACTAACTGAGTAAGTAGTCCTTCTAGACCGTTAATAAATTGTTGTTGCTGTAAAATACGCGTAAAACAATAAGGTCAAAAATGTTTGAACATAAAGATTGTATAGCATATAATAATCTGCAATTACCTCCATTATTAAAAAAAAAAGAAAAAAACGAGCTAAACTTTTTCTGTCGTCCTGGTTAAAAATTATAGAAAATTTGATTGGTCGATATTAGATGCGATGGTGATATTAGAATTAAAAAATTCGTTAAATTTTTGGTTAGGACTAGTGAACTGTACGACACGCAGCAAGTTACGGTTACAAAACATATTTCCCGTAATCTGAGCTATAATTTTTGTCGCTTTTAAAAGGTTTCTCTTTGATGCCAGGGGTTTTGCTTAATGATAAAATCGTAAATTCGACGTATTTTTATACAGTATCAGTCAGTGTTGCCCATTGGGAGACTAGAAGGTCGAAATTGCTCCAGCTAGCCGGTGTTTCTAGTGAGCAAGTCTGACTGGATGATTTTTTCATTGGAAGATTTCTATATTTATAAATCCTTTAATCCAATTTTGATGACTTTGGGATCATTAGATTCGTCTCATTGAGACAAAATTATCACGAGACATCACGTTTTGAAATCGCTATTAAATTAACGAGATTTAAAAAAAACAGGGTTTACAAATATCTCGAGATCCTATAGTTGGATTTTAGCGATTTTGATATTGTTATATTCGCTCAGTGATTTTACGGTGATAAATTGCCGTGACAAAGTGTATTAAAATTTATGAACTTTGCGTAAATTCTGTGTTGGTATTCATGAATTCTGTGTTGGTTGTAATAGAAACTTCGGTTCCTTAATGCTTTTTTTGTCATTTTTTATATTTTTCTTTATAGTTTTCTTGATGCTTTTTTATTATTTCTTTGTGGCCTTTTATTATTCTTTTGGTAATTTTTTCATTATTCTTTCGTCGCTTTTTCAGCACTCTTTTTAGCGCTTTTTTAGTGCTTTTTTCATTACTTTTTTTTATCACTTTTTTGGTTTTTTTTTTTTTTTTTTTTGATAGTCTTTTTGATGTTTTTTTATTACTTATTTGTAGTTCTTTCTTTGTTTTTTTAGTGGTTTTTTTATCACTTTTTTAGTGCTTCTTTTGTCATCTTTTTGGCATTTTTTCATCATTTTTCAATACTTTTCTTCATTGCTCTTCTTTGGTGTTTTTTATTATTATTATTTTTTTTGTAATACTTGTTATTTTTTGGATTATTATTTTAGATTAATATTTGGGGTCTTTGTCTTGAAAATGACCCTACGGGATTATGTAGATTTTATGAATAAAGATTAAAATTTCTAGCTATTCAGTAATCCAATTCAAATTTTTTTTTTATTTTGTAGAGCTTAGTGAGTTTTACAAAACAAAAAAAATTATTTGAATTGGATTATTAGATGACTAAAAATTTTAATTTTTATTCATAAAATCTACATAGTCCCGCAAGGTTATTTTCAAGGCAAAGATCTCATTTGGTCAACATTGGGTTAACATTACATTGAGTTAGCTTTAGGTCAATGCTACAATGTTAAAGTCAAATCTTAAAATTTTGTAAAATTTTTAATAAAATAAAATAAAAATATTTAGTAAAAAAGATTAATTTAAAAGTTTATAATAATTTTTTTTAATTTCAATAATACAGTAATAAAGTCAAAATTCGCTAGTGTGATTAGCGAGTTATAATGCAGTAATGCTATAATATTTTTCACTGGTTTTTAGTTTCACATTTTTTTATATTAAATAACATAATACTTAATGGCTTAAAATCTATAAACTAGATAAAACTTCTAAGCAATATAAAGAATGTTTTAATACATTTTATGAACTATTTTGTAAGATTAAATACTGTATATTCTGCTTTATGAGTTCTGCATAAATCTCATAAAATATCTACTGTATAATAATAAGTAGTTTTAGTTAGACAGGTACATAAATAATCGTTCAAAAGATCAAGTAGATTTTCTCAAGAACCAGGCAAGATTTTGAGTGCAATGTATCAAATAGTTCATGTGCTTTTACAAATTACCCAATTATCAATCTGCTATATATATAATACAGTATCTACTAGTTTGAAGAATACAGAGCCAATCCTCTACTGATTTTTTTAATATTATCTAGACTATTACTAGTAAATGAAACTTAACCGCAATAGAAAACACGCCACATACTGATAGGCGACTGAATTCAGCTATTATAGATTTCTTTCCTAATGTTCGAGTTGAGAAAATAAACTGACATTTATAACTAACCATATTCATACTTATTTAATCCTAAGTTATGCAATCATCGATCTTTTACCAACTACCACGAATAAAATTGAATAGTTTAAATAATTAATCAATATTCTTTATACTCACGAACCAATTAAGCAAATAAAAAGAAATTAAATACGTAGACAAAACGAACGAGTAAATAGAAAATTTTAATCTAATTCTAGCAGATTTATGACGCTCAAATCACGTGATGCTCTTGGATTTACTATGCATATCATCATACTGGTTGAAAGTTAAAAAAGTGGTGGATAATTATTAGTGATATATTTGGGCATTTGGGATTTATGAGATTTTCAAGCATAACGGTGAGTGGCAATCCCATTTGTTGATTGTACATTTGAGCTTCATCAGCCAATTACATTGAAAAAGGTCTTAAGAACTGCCTGAGAACAAGGTTCCTCGAACTTTTTGATCAATTGAGACTATTTGATGCTACCAAGGAAAACTTGTCATTGGGTTTCAATTTAGTGCTTACCGGTCACATTTCATCTGATTTTTGGTTACGCCTCAACTTCCAAAGGTAATTTCCCTTATGGACCATTTTACTCGATATCACGCAGATGATAATTTACTAACAGTTGTATAATGCAACTAAACGTTAACCACAACCCTATGTGATGTCGAGTAAATGCGGCTACCCTGATTTTCGAGGGCTGTACGTATCCGGATAGAGATTATCCTCTTTCCTATTTAAAGTTTAATGGATATCCAGTTACTGTTTACGATTTTATAACTGTATAATACAGTAATTATTGAAAACTGGTGGATATCCAGATCACTTCTAAGTATCCGGTAAATTACAAATTTGCAGCTGTTTTTATTGATTTTGGGACCAAAAAAATTTTTGATAATAAAATTGATAATTAGGGTCTTTGCCTTGAAAATCAAGTTATGGGACATATGATTTACTATGTTCCATAACTTGATTTTCAAGGCAAAGACCCCAATTAACTAGTCTGTAACTTCTGTCGTCGGAAAATTTTTAGTTCCAGAATTTATGAAATCAACTGTAAACAGGTTTTCCCGTGGCGGCACCCATTTGATTAGTCTAAACCGGTCCGAATTGGTTCAAGACCGAGGACTAAAAAAAACTGGTCCAAAGAACCAATACTCAACCTTAGAGTTTAAAGCCTCTTATAAAAAATTATTACAGCATCCAATCTACCAAAATTAGGTTTTCATATTTGCCGAAATTATTTTCTGAAATTACTTTTTTCAAAAACGATTTAACCCACGTCTACATGTAAAAAAAGTGAAAAACAGTGATTTTATAGACCTATTACATAGTTGAGTTATATGAAATTTTCAAATTTATTACGTTCGATTTTCTACTTTGTACAGAACTTTCAAAGTTATATAGATTAATTAAATAAATATCAATTTTTGCTAAGCTATCATACGAGCATAAACAATATTACGCTCGATAATAACAAGAATGTATTACATCATGAAAATAATAAAGATGTTTAATTGAACCAAACTCTAAAAATAATAGATTATTTTAATACTATATAACTTACTTATTAGGTGATTAGATAGACTTGCCCGTTAGCCATTGAAGAAATACCATATAAAGTGTTACACCACCAAAACACACTACATCGCTACATCGTCTTGTTGCCCAACATCAGGTGCGTTCGTCGGAATCAACGAAGCAACAAAGGTCCATAATGCATGCTCAACATCTTGAAGAGTAATTGATCTTGCATTTTCTGGGGGTGGTTGTGGAACATTATTAGCACCATTACTATTATTGTTAATGTTATTTTGTTGTTCTCTTGATGACGAGGATGTAGATGAATTGGCAACATTGTTATTTGGATCATTGGTTGGCGTGGGGGATGGCGGTAAATGAGCAGTTGATGAGGACGATGAAGGGGTATTGCGATTATTTAGGTCCGGTTGCGGAATTGGAAGCCCTCCCGGATTTTGCTGTACTGGCATTTGTGGTAATTGTTGGGCTTTTTTATACAGATTTCATAATTATTCCGTTATAAAAAATCTCAATGATTAGTTTACTTATTGATTAAACTATATGTTAAGTTCAACATCAAATCTAAATATATACCTAAAATATCATTGGGTATAGGTGCTATGATCCTCTGTCTACGCCTCCGTACGATGCGTAACCGTCCAGTTTGATGTCTATTTTATATGTAATAAGTTATATTGACGTTCAAAACCATAATCATCGAGATATCACTATGAAAATGGTTCGCTACTCACAAAAAAATTACAAATGCCAGAAAATACAATAAAATCATTCGTTCAGTGCTAGCATTTTGTGAAAAAATGTAGACTAAGAAACCAAGCTTTACAATCAACCACAAGGTAGCCGCTCGGCGTTGATTTCTTGCGGCAGCGTCTTGTTGAGGTTCTGGAACCTGAGCAACCAAAGGTTGTTGCGCTTGTACACCGATTTGCGGTGTAGGAAAGTACGGGTATGGATACGTATACCGGTATGGATAGTGAATTGGTGCAATATAAGGCATTCCACTGAATCAATGATCATACAGGTCAATTTTTTTTTTTTTAAAAAAAAAATTCCAATTACAAGTATAATCTTACTTTATCATAACATAATAATACTGCAAAGGCAGTCCTATTGGGTAGAAATTCTGATTTAAGAGAACGTCATGCTGCTGTTGTGGATTAATGGAATACTGTTGTTGTAAGTATGTATGTGCATGTTCTGAAGGTGGAACAAAATATGGCATGTTAAGATTCGGAGGTTGTTGAGCGAAATCAGTTAAGCCTGTAGTACCAAAACTTTGATCTGTTAAGGGTGTAGCTATTCTTGCATTCGTTGTGGTAGATGTCGAGCGAGCTATAGGTATTCCAGTGGTTTCTGAAGACGTCTGAAACGAAGGCTTGACGACCAAATGAAAGATTTGGTCAGTTGCCAGCTCACTTCGTAAAACGTTTATGATAGTATCAGAATCATTTAGCACCCTTCCTCTGTAGATCAACCTTTGGTCTCGAACGTTTGGTTTAGTAGGATGGGTCTCGAAGATGGTCCGTTTCAAAGTAAGAACCGACGAGTCAAGACTAGTTAATATGGAAAAGTCATCGGGTAACGAGGTAGTTGGCGAACGAATGAATATTCTAACTTTGCCACATTCACCATTAAATTTAGAAGAATCGCTACTTGAGGACGTCGCCGGTTCAGACATTGAAAAATGTGAATATATTTTCTAAAGGAAAAGCTACTCTTAAAAAAAATTCAATCGGAAATATTTATGTAGGACTAATATAAATCACGTGAATAACCAGCTATCGTGTACCTTTTTTATTTATCCTTTTTTTTTTTTGAACATTTGGTTATAATTGATTGATACGTCGGGTTATTATTATCAATATATAAAACTATATACTTTCTATTTCATACACGTGAGAAAATTATTTTATAATCTCACGCCTTTGAGAAACATGGCTTCACGAAAAACTCCCTCAAGTTCAACTGCAGACTTATAAAATATAGTGTCTGATTTGTTATAAATCTTGGCATTGTTCCAGATTTTTTGCATATCAATTGCAAATTCTAAAAGTGACCGATATCTATTATTTTCCATACGTTTTAAAACGGTAGAAAGGTCCATAGGATCCTTGATTATATCGTAGTAGTCAGGAACATCATCTCCGTTTACAGGTTCATGAAACGGTAACGATGAAGGATGGCTTTTTAATCGATTTAATATTTCTTTCATAACAAGATAATGTGACATACGCTTAATATCTTTTGCTTGTTTTTCCAATTGTGGTGTCCATCCAGATATTCTAATTCCCGGCACCGACATCGGATCTACAGACTTGACACCATTTTTAAAACATTCCAAGCCACGATAAATAATTGGAGGTTTGCACGTTTGTGCTATTTTATTTTTCACCGCTTGTTTTTGTTTTTCCAGGATTTGTCGAATCTGTCTGTACTTTACTTTTGGTATTAAAGTACACTATTTAACCAATTTTTAGGAATTCAAGAAGGATAAGCCATGAATATATTGCTAAATTGCTAAAATAAAATAAAATAAAATCATAATAATAAATATAAAATAAATTCAAATTTAATCACATCATATACCTGCATGAGAGTCGCTCCTGTATAATCCTTCAAGTGTCCACCCCATATATCTTGATCTAACGTGATTTCGTCGGTAAATCCGTTTTTTCGAAAAAAACCAACTGCAAAGTCATCTGCATAAACCAAGAATTGTGTAATATTAAATGTATCTTTTATATAATCCTTAAAGTAATTCATCAATTTTGTGCCATATCCTTTCACTTGTTGATCACTATCTACCGCGAAAAATACAATTTCAATAAATGACTTCTCCAAGAAGGGTCGATAGCAAATTCCTCCTACAACTTTTACAGGATCCCTTACTATCGCCAGGCTATAATGATTACGGTCATAGACAACCCGGGCAATGTATTGTGCCGGCATGTGTGGTAGTGCAGTTGCAAACAATTCTTTTATTCCAGTCAATAATATTAAATTATCACGAGAGCCGTCGTTGTTGAGAAGACGCAATCTAGTGCCATATTGCTCCTCTTCCGAATGATTAGCGTTTTCATTCCTCAAATCCTTGTCCGCTAGCTTTTTTCGAGTATACATATATTCAGTACGGTACGATGGTTTGGTCTGTACTGTATGGTCTTTACAGTGATTACTGGTAATAAATGTAATGCGTGCGTAGGATGCAGTCACATGAGCCTCGGCCTCCTGATCCTCCTGATCCTCCTGATCTCATTACTGTATTTTATTCTGACGCAACCTATGCAAGTACAATTTTTCTTAGTCTCTATGTTGATAATACAAAAGAAAACATGATAAAGATTGTTACAACTCGTTCTCGTTATAACGAAATCCTCAGATTGAGAAAAAATATTTATTACAGCCTATACCGAAAGAAATTATAAACAATCAACTTTCTCCAGAACAAACGCTGGTTCTGGACGTAAGAAAAATTATGTAAAATTATTATTTTTCTTAAGAACCATAACTCTTTATACCGAATTAATGTGGCAGATCATAATGAAATCGGATTAAAATGAAACTGGGGACCTTTCTTGCTCATCTTTAAAGCTTATA